CCTGGACCTGTTTTGGGAGAGATATTGGAGGTGCAGGAGCCTTCAGCAGTGGAAAGGTTTGGTGGCAAAGGTTGTTTCCAGACAGCCTTTGATAAAATCGGTGACAATCCTGGTCCGGAATGAATCCATACCAGAGGCTGATTTGGTAGTTTGGCTACGCCGACATGGTGAGGTCCTCACCCCACTGCGGAAGGTCCTGGATGAGCATAGGATATGGACAGGGGCCTGGACGGTGTCAGTGCAATTGAGGGTGCTGGGCAATGTGGTTCAGCATCTTCCCTGCTCAGCCTTTCTGGGGAGGGATAGGCTGACCATTTTCTATCAAGGTCAGCCTAAAGTTTGTAACAAATGCGGAGAGAGAGGCCCATTTTGCATCGTCCTGCACCATCAAGAAGTGCTCAATGTGCCAGGAGTTTGGCCATTTGGCCAAAGAATGCACCGAGATTCGGTGTAATTTGTGCCAGCAGATGGGTCATCCATACAGTCTGTGCCCAGAGGCACTACACAACCTGCCAGGACTGGAGGCTGAGCTGCAGAGGCTGGATAAAGAGGATGAGGCAGCTGATGCTAGGGAGGAAACTGTAGTTGCCCCTCCTGTGTCTGTTCCCTCTGTTGTGTCAGATTGTGTTTCCCCCAGTAATGTCACCCCTGAGTCTGTCCCTCCTGTCCCTAATCCTACAGTACGTAGATCCTCCAGACTGGCGGAAGCTGCTGGGGGGGCTGGTTTAGCTGATCTTCCCTCTCGGCCTACTCCACCTCCGGGTACCTGTCCCCCGTCAGCGCAAACGTGGTCAGGAGGTTGTGGGGGTGCTGGATGGGGGTGGAGCCGATGGGGCTCAGGGAGGGGTATCCATGTCCCATGTCTCGCCTCCTGCTGGGGGGGATTCAGCTGATGAGGGGTGGGAGAGGGTGAAGGAGAAGAGGAAGAAGAAGAAGAGGAGGATGAGAAGAGCTGTCCTCTCTTCCTCAGAATCAGATCCAGGAGGGGGTCCCTCTTGGCAATACTTTTTCAGTTTTGTCAGGTGATGAGTTGGTAACTGATATATCCATTTCTCTATCATCTATGGATGAGGGGGAGTCACGTACTCTGAAGAGAGCTGTTTCGGGTGATGAGAGTGTGGTAGAGGTTAAGAAACGACTACCCCAATCATCCTGATGGCAGTTCCCCACTCTGTTAAAGGTGGCGACCATTAATGTCGCCAGCATTAAATCTGCAAGAGCTCGTGATACGGCCTTATTTTTGCTCAGCGAGTTTGATGCTGAGATTTTATTTTTGCAAGAGACCTGGCTCAATACATTGGCCGATGTCTATCTAGCAAAAAGGGAGTGGAGATGTGGTCCCTCCTTTTGGTCTCTTGCGGCTGAACCTTGCAGCGGAGTTGCGGTCTTTTTTAAAACCGATATGGTAACGTGCCGGCGGGTAATTGAGGTAGAAATGGGGAGATGCATGGTCTTAGACGTCTCTGTTAGGGGGCAGGACCTGCGCCTGATCAATATCTATGGACCGCAGTCAAAATGGGCAGGAAATGCCTCCTCACAAAGATCAAGCCCTTCCTTTTTACGTCCCAGCAGGTTGTCTTTGGAGGTGACTTTAACACCATAATTAGGCCTGAAGACAGGAGAGGCTCCATAGACAGGCTGGGTTATGATAGCGTTTTTCTCAGAGATTTGGTTAGACAGGCAGGCCTGGTAGATGTGCACATTAAGCACTGCCCTGGCAGCACGGGGTTCACATTTCAGAGAGGGAATAGTCAGAGCAGGATAGACAGGTTTTTTTTTAAAGGAGAACTCTGCTTTCTCAGCTCCTGAGTTGAAGGCGGTGGAGTTCTCTGATCACTGTATGCTGTCTGTGACTCTGAATGCCTCGGACACTCCACCCAGGGGAAGGGGTGTCTGGAAACTGAATTCGGCTCTCCTGGAAGATGTAGAGGTAAGACAATCCTTTGAGGATTTTTTTCAGGCACAGGTTTTCTATTCTGGACTTTTGCAGCAGTAAGTCAGAGTGGTGGGAGCTTGTGAAACAAAGGGCGATTGGACTTTTCAAGGCCATAAGTAAGAAGAAGCAGCTTGGTATGTATATTGCCTACCAGCATTTGCGGAGGAAGCTTGATCGTCTTGTCTCGTATGGAGGAGATCCAGGGAGATCTCTGAAGTGAAACTTCTTCTTAGGAAGTGTCAATACGACCGGCATGCCTCCTTGATTCTGGAGAGGGATTATGGGAAATAATCACTCACCTGATCCTTACCAGAACTGTAAGCAAGGCATAGCAGTTAAGACGGTCATTGGCCTGAAAGACAGTACGGGTTCCCTGATAAAGTCCAGATCAGGGATCTTGGAGATCTTTGGGTCGTATTATGCAGACCTCCTGGGAAGAAAGGACCTTAGCCGGGACAGGATGGAAAGCTTTCTGGATTCTACTCCAGGATTGGGAAATGGTGCATTGCTTTTGATGAATTTGACAGAACCAATTTCAGCGGATGAGGTAGTTCATGCTATAGACAAGCTGGCTACCAAAAAATCGCCTGGGCCAGATGGATTGACAGCTGAATTTTACAAGTGTTTTAAGTCCATTCTGGCTCCCTTTTTAGCGGAGGTTTTTAATAGCTGTCTAGAAGAGGGTTCGCTCCCTCCCTCCATGAGGCAATCTGCTGTGATTCTTCTGTCAAAAGGTAAAGACCCCTCAATGATTGAGAACTGGCGCCCCATCAGTCTTCTCAATGTTGATAGAAAGATCTTGGCAAAGATTATTTTTTGGCGCTTGTCGTCAGTAGCAGGCGATTTGTTGTCCAGCCATCAGCACTGTTCGGTCCAAGGTAGAAGTACCTTTTCAGCGGTTTTGGCTATCCGGGAGGCTTTGGAACGATGCAGGGCTGCTGGATGGAGAAAAGTACTTGCTGGCATTGGATCAGGCAAAAGCTTTTGATCGAGTGAATTCATGAATATCTGTGGTTGCTGCTTGGTAGATATGCCTGCAGGGGAGGTTTTAGATTGGCTGAAGACATTATATAAAGGGGCTGAGAGCTTCCCACTTGTTAATGGTTGGGTTGGGCGGCCTTTTGAGGTCGGCTCTGGTGTGCGCCAGGGATGTCCTTTGAGCCCCCTGCTATATGCTTTCGCAATCGACCCCTTTGTAAGAAGGCTAGAGGGCGCATCGTTGTGCGGGGGTGCCTCTGGGCATTGCTGGTGTGCCGCCTTTGAAGGTCATTGCCTATGCTGATGATGTGTCTGTTATTATCTCTGGGACTGAGGAGGCGCAGGAGGTGGTCTCTGTGATAGAGCAGTACACGGAGGCTTCTGGCTCTAAAGTCAACCATGAAAAGAGTGAAGTTTTCTGGATGGGTGAGGAGGGTGAAAGCTTCGAACTTCCGGATGCCTTCCCAGAGCCCCAGCAGGAAATTAAAATTTTGGGCATCAAATTTGGTCCTGGTGACTATGGTCATCGAAACTGGGAAAGCAGGTTGGTAGTTGCCAATGCCAAAGTAGCAAGCTGGAAGAGATGGAGGCTTTCCTTGAGAGAGAGGGTTGACTTGATCAAAACTTACCTGATCCGATCTTTTTATATGTCAGCTTTCATCTGTATCTTGCCGGTATCTCTCTATGCACGGGTTACAGCTGTTTTTTCCAACTGTTATGGGGAAATAGGCTGAACTTGATCAAACGCAATGTAACTTACCTGTCCAGGCGGGAGGGTGGCCTTAGGAATGGTCAACCCCGATAGTTTTCTTTTCTTTGCTCTTTTTAAAGTACAATCTTGGTAAATATGTTTAGCAGAGACCCCGCCGGGATGGGTGGGTATTTTTCAGTCTTGGTTTAGGCCTTTTCTGCATTGCTGGGAAGATGGCGGCCCAGTGAAAAGTCTGAGAGTCCGACATGGCAAGCTCCCGGCTTATGTTGCCCCGTGTCTGAAAATACTTCGGCAGTGGCAGGTGACAGTGGAGGATATCAGGTCCCTTCCCAGGAAGCTTCTGGGGGAGAGGATTTTGGCTTCTGCTTTCAGTGTGTCACTGGCCTTAAAGGATTGCCCAGGCTCCGTAATGAGGGAGGGATTGTGTTTAATTAACTTGGAGAGAATCCCTTTGAAGTTTTAGAGATTAAGCCTGGCTCGCTTTCCATGGAAGGCTCTATGTGAGAGGGAACCTGAAGCACCGCCCTGTGGATGATCGGGATTGTCCTAGAGCAGAGTGTGTTGGTAAAGTGGAGTCTATGGACCACTTTCTGCTCCTGTGTCCCTTTAACATAGAGGTGTATAAAAGGGTGGGGAGGGCTCTGGGCATCCCTTTCTCTATCGCATGAGTTATGCAGAGTGGGTGTACGGGGCTTCCCCAGCTCGCTGGGACTTTGATTTGGATACACTTTTTCTAGTTAGTATAGTTGTCCGTTACTTCCACATGGAACGCACGGTGTCAGATTACCATCCGGAAGAAAGTCCTCCCTGTAGAGGTGGTGGTGCATGATATTCTGGGTGAGGTTGGGAAGATTCGGGGTCTGAGAAGGGCAGGGAGCCTCGGGCGGTCTGGATAAGGGCGTGGAGGAATATCAGACCTGCCTTTGGTGAACTGTCCATCTCTGGGTGAGGGGCTCTTTCCTTATACTGTTCTTTTCACTCCCGTAGTTTTTGTTGATTAAGATCTTTTTTGAAGAAGGGCTGCATGCATAAGGGGGGCGGGGTGGTTTCTTGACCTCACAGGTTTGATGTCTGGTGTAGTTGATGTTTCGAGTGGGCGTTCAGTACGATTTATTCCCCAATTTATGTCAAGTTCATTTCTGAGGCGTTTGGTTTTGTCTGACAGCAGAATTTGCTATGTTTATTTTCGTTTTGCTGTAAATATATATAATTTTTTTATATTCTGTATAATATTTTATGTTTATTGATTGCGAGACTTTTAATAAAGAAAAATTGGGAAGAATGTTCCTTACATTGGTGGTCAGTGGGAAGAATGTCCCTTACATTGGTGGTCAGTGAGAAGAATGTCCCTTACATTGGTGATCAGTGGGAAGAATGTTCCTTACATTGGTGATCAGTGGGAAGAATGTCCCTTACATTGGGGGGTCAGTGGGAAGAATGTCCCTTACATTGGAGGTCAGTGGGAAGAATGTCCCTTACATTGGAGGTCAGTGGGAAGAATGTCCCTTACATTGGGGGGTCAGTGGGAAGAATGTCCCTTACATTGGTGATCAGTGGGAAGAATGTCCCTTACATTGGGGGTCAGTGGGAAGAATGTCCCTTACATTGGAGGTCAGTGGGAAGAATGTCCCTTACATTGGGGGTCAGTGGGAAGAATGTCCCTTACATTGGAGGTCAGTGGGAAGAATGTCCCTTACATTGGTGGTCAGTGGGGAAGAATGTCCCTTACATTGGAGGTCAGTGGGAAGAATGTCCCTTACATTGGTGATTGGAGGTCAGTGAGAAGAAAACTCCTTACAATGGTGGTCAATGAGAAGAATGCTCCTTACATTGGTGGTCAGTGGAAAGAATGTCTCTTTATTTTGTGGTCGCTGGCAAGGATTCTCTTTATATTTTTGTTTATTGGGAAAAATGCTCCTGACATTAGTAGCCCACATGCCACCAGTACAGAAACCTAAAAAGATTTGCCAAGGAGTGTTGGAACTCAAATTATCCAGGTACCATCATATTTCAGGTCACTCAGGTACAGCTCATAGGACCCCTAATAACCTCTAGAGAAACCCCACATTTCCAGAAAACCCTGGTTGATAATGGCTGCTATAGCTGATCATCAAGTCTCTATAGCAGCTTGGTACACAAACTTGCATTGTGACATGAAATCAAACATCTCGCTGCTTCAAACCTATGAGTGATGACTGTTCTACCCAATAGTTTCCAATTGCCATGTCTGCCGGTGTACTCACCGCCAATATCAGTCTCAATACTCTCAGTTGCAACCTCAGCTGCAGATGTTGTGAATCCTCGGAGGGTGATGGTGTAGTTGGTTCCATACTGGAGGGGGATTTTATATTCAGTCACATTGGGTGGAAACTGGAGAGATTCATCCACAGCAAAGGACACATTGTAATCCCTCCAGGCTGAGATATTCATCTGAAAGGAATCATTGCATGGGTTATATCTTATGTGACTCATTTTAGGACCATGTAACACAGAGACTATGTAACCAAATCGGTTCTTCAGTAAGGTGAAAAGAAATCTGAAATGATGTAATGCTAATTATTACATTGATCTATTTTTTTTTAATTGTTACATGATGATAGCACTTAATATAGGGTGCACAACTGACATAGGATTTCCCGAGCTTCATGGGTTACCTAAATGGAGAGCACTGCACTAGCTGTCTTACTTTAGATGCTCTAAATGAAATCTCAGAAGGGCCCCTTTAGTTTTAGAGAAAGCTACTGAGCTCCCTAAATGGCAGCATTTTTCATCGGGAGGTAAGGGGAAACGGGAAACGTGAAATGCAGCCAAAAGTTCCACCTGCTGATTGATTCAAATAAATATTATATATATATTTTCATATCCAAATGAATATATTTTTATAATGTTATTTTTTAATCCTGATTACAATAGTAAACTATGTAGAAACCATCGTAGATTGCCTCTCTATGGAATCTAAAACACTTTAATGACAGATACCATACAGCAGTATGAACAGCACTGCCTGGCAGTTACCCACTTTAGAACCGCATTATACCTGAATGACGGCTACAGCGCGGTTCTCCAGTTCCGGGAGGGTGTCATATGACATCCTCCCAGAACGTGCCCCCTACCGGTGCGCTCCTGGCGCTGTCAGTGATCGCTGTGTTCAAAAGATGCACCTGATCACATGACATGGTAAAAGGTCAATCACAGCTTCCTTTTACCATGTGATCAGCTGTGTCCAATGACACAGCTGATCACAAAGTAAATACAGTTGCTGGTTATCGGCTGTACTTCCCTCATGCTGTCACAGCTAACCAGCAAGTGTCACACAAGACATCTGCACTGATTATCAGTGTCCTGATTAAAAGTGCAGCCCCAAAAGTGCCCCAGTGCTGCCCATCAGTGACCCACAGTGCCCACCCATCAGTGCCCAGTAGTGCTATCCATCAGTGTCTCACATCAGTGCCCATCAGTGTCGCCCATCAGTGCCCATCAGTGTCCCACATCAGTGCCCATCAGTGTCGCCCATCAGTGCTGTAACGGAACCGACTCAGAGTGCGCTTGAGTACTTCCATTAGAATACAGCTACCCCGTCCGAACACCAAACAACAGACACCACAGCCGACCATACAAGACTAGAGGACACCAGTCTTGAAGTAAACCAGGAGGTAGACTACTTTATTTGAACACAGATACAAGATATATATACTCAGGGGACAATCTCCCCCCCCCGCATAATCACTCAGGGCGGGGCAATCTACATTTAGTAACAAGAGACACACAGGTATTCAAACTTTACAGCAGCAGACAATCCCAACAGGAGGGAGAGAAAACAGGCGGCGCACACACCTAGTGCATTATCCAAGGTTTATTGTAGGAGTGAAAGAATAATAAAAACATACCCACAGACGAAGCATGTATCTAAAAAGCATAGAAAAATGACAATGACCACAACGGCAGGCAAGGTGTTCTCACTGTCATAAACCTTTTCTGCAATCCTTCCCCAAAACTCAAATCCTACCCCGAATTTCCAAAATAAATCCAAAGAAATGTCCACAATGCAAAGTCCACAAAATGTCCACACTATTCAATCTTCCAAATGTGATAAGTATCCAATTCGCCACTTCAATCCAAGATACCTCAAAAAAATTTAAACTGAATATAGTGCATTATCTTTCAAATAATGGAAAAAACTCCTGCGCTCAATGGAACACCTATTAATAAGCAGCACACACTCGCCTCAACCACAAGGAAAGAACATAAAAATACAAAAAATAGTGCAGCGCTAACAATCTATACTAAAATACAAATGAGATAAATGGAAATATCACATATAGAATGCACAATAAATATTCAGTGTTAGGTGCTCATAAAATGAATACTATGTGCAGCAGTCCATAAATGCCAATGATGGTGAAAAAATCACAGCAAAACTCCGTGAGGTGATCACAGTGCCACTCAGTGTGCGGTCAATCCACAGATGGCCAAGATGGCCCCTCACCTCCTTGATGCGACCCACTGGGCCAAACAGCTATGTAGGTGACCTTATACACCCAATAAGGTATCATCAAAGGATGGAACGTTTGGATAGATCCCTCCAATATGTTCTCCTATCTCCTAGGTACTCAATTCCACAAAACCGTTTAAGATACTTTCTTCAGAGCTTGTGCATCTCCATGTGTCATCATGAATGCCAGCACATGGAGATGCACAAGCTCTGAAGAAAGTATCTTAAACGTTTTTTTGATGAGGCAAAGGAGATCCTCCTTTCCAGCATCCATCCTTTAGGTAAGCTCTCCTCCTTGTGGCCCCCTCACAGGCTCTACACTCCAGCCTTGATCCTTTCCTCGATCCATCTTCCACCTGACACTGCACACTGCTCCCCAGGCTCTATCACATTTAAGGGTTACCTTGGTCACCATGCCCAGCCTCCTTCCAGGGGATTGAGCAAGATCCCTCAAACATGCAGATCTGAGCCTCCTCCCCTCCTTCATTCCACTTCCAGAAAGTTCTCTAAGTTTCTGAAAAGGCTGGAGGGCTCCAGAAGCTCTGACCTGTATATCCTCCCTAGCCTATCCTGAGAGAAACTCCTGTCTCACTCACAGGCTGACTCATCCCAGGCTCTATCTAAAAAAACCTAGCTAACCAAACCTGGAGGGCGTTACACACAATTCAATGCAAGGCAAGTCTATTGAGGGAAAAAAAAGCTTTTTAATATTTTAGCCCATAAAAGGACCCAAACAGGAAAATGATGTGATGTCAAGAGAAATAATCTACAAAAAGCAAAGCAACTTAACATGCATGAAAATGTATATAAATGCATGTCAACATGCATAAAAATGTGAATCAATGGAAGGCAACACACGTCTATTTTCAAGCATTTTTACGCATTTTAAGTAAATTTTGACCTAAATACCACTTTATTAAAGGTCGTTCTGTTTTACAAATCCCTTAACGCTTTTGTAGAAAATCTGTTCTTTAGAGCTCAGTAGTTCAAGCTGAAGTCAACACGCAAGTGAATGTCACCCAAAACCCCCCATGACCTTCTGCTCTCCCTACTTTTGATTTCCTCCAATGGGGACTTTGAGGACAACAAAAATTGTATAATATGACTGAAAATTAAATTTGCCTTCATTTTATATACATCATTAGATTAAAATCAACAAAAATAGACCAATAATATCATAGGCTGAAACATGATCCAGAACATTACACAATGGTTAACCCTGCTTACAACCTCCTGCTCTCCAGTTCCCTCATCACCTCCTGCCCCATGCTCACCTCCAGAACTTCCCCAGATCCTCTCCCATCCTCTGGAAGTCCCCCTACACAAAGCTGTCCTGCTATCCTCTACTCTTTCCACCTCTTTGGAGATCCATGAAAACTCCTCTCTTCAGGGAAGCCTGTAGGTGGTGTTCCCCTTAAAGTACATGTGAACCCTTACCTTGCAAAACAACCCATTTAGTTTAAAATGATAATGGAAGACACATAATTTGTGTATAGATATAAAAAAGTACAAATATATTTTTTTATAAGTGATCACGTGACCTCTGTTCCCAACTGCATAAGGCGCTTGGAGAGGTGGGGTGGAGACAGCAAGGGGGTGTGTCATAACAAGTAGAGAAACAGCAGTACCCTGATCTTTCCAGTGAAGAGCTGTGCAGGGAGGTGTGTCAGTGCAGGTCTTGGCCATTGGAGGGCAGGCAGGCTGTGCAGGGGGGCGTGTCAGCACAAGTCTTGTCCATTGAAGGACAGGCAGGCTGAGCTCCCAGCACAGCCAGAAAATGGACCACATAGGGATGGAAATGCTCTCTCAGCTTGAAATAAAAAAGCAAGTGAACTGGCAGGATCACCGGAAATTTCACACAAAGGGAGCAATACAAAGAGTACAGGATACTTCTTAACACAAGTACATGTTATAACAGACAGATATATAGAATATGAAATATTATTATTACTATTATATGTTGTTGGAGTAACAAACACTTTAAGGGTTGATCCTCCTATTTGGATACAGGATTCTGGGGGTCCCTATATAAGGTAGGTGGAGTTTAAACTAAGGGTCTTTTTTTTTGGGAGATAAAGAGAGAAAATGTTGTGTTCCATGGTTTGTGCTGTTAGTATCAAGGGGAGGGGGTGGAGGTAATCTCCTATTCTCTGGAGCTCACAAGAGGGAGGATGGTACATAGACTCTGTACACTTGTTCACCCCTCTGAAAGATCTGCATAGTCTATGGCAGTGGTCCCCAGATTGCAGCCCAAGGGCTGGAAGTGGCCCTTCACTTGTCTTTATCCAACCGTTGGGGCTGACACCAGTGATGGGGCACTATTCTTCCCACTGATACTAACGATGGGGCATTGGTTACATCCACTGACACCA